GCCTTGGCGGCAGCAGCAATCGTCGAAGGTGAGGGCGGGCCCGGCCAGGGGCCCCGAGCACATGCCGTCCTCCCCGCGCTGGCCCCAGCACACGTCGCGCCGCTCCGGTGCGCGCTCTGCCGGGGGAAATGCACGTTGCGGGGAGCCTGAGAGGGCGAGGCCGCCCCCCTGCCCCGTCCCACTCTCGCGGGGCCACGGCCAGGACGACCCTCAACCTCACCCGCCGGGCTCTCGGGGAGCTGGCAGTCACGGCCAGAGGGCCCGGGTACCCAGGGCGGGCGGCACTCGCAGCGGTAGGAGCCCGGCAGGTTGACGCAGCGGCCAGGGCGGCAAGCCGCTGGGTCCTGGCACTCGTCCACGTCTGCGGGCGACAGAGGGTGGGTGCGGTGACGGTCACAACTCGACCGCGGCCCTCGCCCGCCTCCCGCCTCCCCGGCCGGGCCTCACCCATCTCCTCCGGGCTCAGGCACTGGCGCTGCACCGGGCTGTATTCGGCTGGGGGTGTGCAGGCGCAGCGGTAGCCGCCGCGCGTGTTCTCACACACTCCGTTCCGGCAGTTGGACTCGTCCAGGCACTCGTCCACGTCTGCAGGATCGGAGAAGAAACGCGGGTGGCAAGGGCCGGTCATGTGGTGGGGGGCGCCTCCACTTCCCGGGACCAGCCACTCACCCACGCACTCCAGTAAGTTCCCGTCGTAGTAGAAGCCCTGCTTGCAGTAGCACTCGTAGCCGGGCTGCGTGTTCACGCATTTACCCTCCTTGCAGATCTCCGACCCGAATAACATGCACTCGTCTATGTCTGCGGAGGACGTGCCGTCGGTGCTCTAACTTCCACCCTCCCCGCCAGAGCGCCGCCGGGTGGGTGGGGCTTAACGGAGCTCACTCAGTGGGAGGGGCTACCAGGGCGATGATGTAAGCGTGTTAGGGCGGGGCCTGTGGGCGTGGCCGCGCTGGACTTACCGCGGTGGGCAGGGATGCCGTAGTTGACGATGTTGTTGTCCTGGGTGTAGCCCTTCCCATCGGGACAGAGGCTGTGGAACTCAGCTGCGGGGAGAGAGCGGCGGTGGGGAGGGAAGGAGGCAGGACGAGCGCGCGTGCCGAGCTTCCTGCTCACGCTGGAGCTCCGCACCTGACTTCCCCGGGTATTTCCCCCATTCTCCGTTTCCTGGGGAAGACGCAGGCTCTGGGAAGGGATGGGGCCTGCCTGCCTCCTGACCTGAGCTGTAGACTGGGCAGGGGTAGATTTCGCAGTGGTCCCCCCAGCCGGCCCCCAGGGAGCAGCAACACTCCTGCTGGGTGACATTGGTAGCCAGGACACTGTCGCAGAACACCGTGTCATCGAAGTTAAGG